TGTCCCGGGGGTCCCAGGGGATGGAATTGGGGACCCCCTGTCCCAGTCACTGTCCCAGGGGGTCCCAGGGGATGGAATTGGGGACCCCCTGTCCCAGTCACTGTCCCGGGGGTCCCAGGGGATGGAATTGGGGACCCCCTGTCCCTGTCACTGTCCCGGGGGGTCCCAGGGGATGGAACTGGGGGCCCCCTGTCCCAGTCACTGTCCCGGGGGTCCCAGGGGATAAATTTGGGACCCCCTGTCCCTGTCACTGTCCCGGGGGTCCCAGGGGATGGAACTGGGGACCCCTGTCCCAGTCACTGTCCTGGGGGTCCCAGGGGATAAATTGGGGACCCCCTGTCCCAGTCACTGTCCCGGGGGTCCCAGGGGATGGAACTGGGGACCCCCTGTCCCAGTCACTGTCCCGGGGGTCCCAGGGGATAAATTGGGGCCCCCCTGTCCCAGTTACTGTCCCGGGGGTCCGGGGGGTCCCGGTGGCCCCGGGGGTCCCCTCATCCCGGGCTCTCCCTTGGGTCCCTCGGGCCCTGCCCGTCCCGTGGCCCCGGGGGTCCCGGGCATTCCCGGTGTTCCCTGTGGGCCGGGGGGTCCCACCTTTCCCGGTTCCCCCTCCGGCCCTGGGGGTCCGGGATCCCCCTCGGACCCGCCCTGGCCCCGGGATCCCGAGAGTCCAAAGCTGCCCTTGGAGCCCTTGAGCCCCGGGAATCCTCTCGTTCCCAGAGGTCCCCGTTCCCCCTGGGGGCCGGCGGGTCCCGGGGGTCCCAGAGCTCCGGGGGGTCCCGGCGATCCCGGGATCCCGATGTCACCCTTCTGTCCCCCCATTCCCGGGGGGCCGCTGGATCCAACGTCCCCCTTGAGGCCACGGGGGCCTGGGAGACCCGGAATGCCTGGAAAGAGGGAGAGGAGGGGTGAGGGGGGGATGCTCCGACCTCGGGGGTCTTGCTAAGGCCGGGATGGATGGAGAATTCCAGCCATGGAAGGATTTGGGCGCCCTCAGCCAGGGGTGGCTGCTCCCTCTCCGCCGGGACCGGGGAGAGGAGGCACTGGCACCAGGGGAAGGACATGGAAGGACATGGAAGGACATGGAAGGAC